TTCCCAGAATGCACTGGGGCAGGGCAGAGCTGGGGTTAGGGGGAACCAGATAGCAAGCGTGAAAAATCAGGACAAGGGGTGGGGGGTGGGGGGTAATAGGTGCCTATATAAGACAAAGCCCTGAATATAGGGACTGTCCCTATAAAATCGGGACATCTGGTCACCCTAGCTGGGGTCCCTGAGGCAAGGTCAACTGGTGGGGGTTGGGGAGCTGCCCAGGTGGCTGGGGCATTGGCTCCCAGGGCCAGGCTCCCAGGCAGAGTCAGCAGCTGCTGGGGAGTTCAATGAAGGGCTGAAGGGGTATGCGGGGTGATGTGTCTGGTTCTGTGTGGGGGGAGGTGACACCCCTGGGGCTGAGAGGAGCTGATGCAGCTGGGGAGTTTTGGTGGGGGTAATGTGGCTGGGGGGTATAACGTGGCTAGGGGATCTTGGGAGTTATGTGGCTGGAGGGGTGATGTGGCTGGAGGTGTGTTGGAGAGATTATGTGGCTGGGAGACATGGTAGAGGATGTGTGGTGGGTGACACCCCTGGGAGTGGGGAGGGGGTTGATGTGGCTGGGAGTGTGTGGACGACTGACATGGCTAGGAGGGTGACATGGTTGGAAGGTGAAGGGGCTGGGGGCTGGGACTGGAGTGATGTGGCTGGGGTGGTGGACCACTGTCGTGACTGGGAGGGTGATGTGGTTGGCAGGTGACGGAGCAGGGAGTGGGGCGGATTTGACCTGGGAATGTTGCTGGGGAGTTACATTGGGGATGGGAAGGAAGCTACCTGAGCTGTAACCTGAGCCAGGAGTGGGGTTGGGAGAAGTGACACCTTCTGCCCGGGAGACTGAACAAAGGAGAGGAGGAGCAGAGGGGAGTGGGGAGAAAGCTGCTGGAGGAGTTTTTAGTTTCAGTTTGGGCTAGATGGGGCAACGCAGGGAACCCCAAGCTGGGGTCTAAGCTCCCTAAACCCCCCAGAAGGACTTGATTGAGGGGTTCTGGTTGTACCTACACGCTCTGCTTGGGACTGTGTTCCTGTCATCTAATAAACCTTCTGTTTTACTGGCTGGCTGAGAGTCATGGTGAATCTCAGGAAGAGGGGTGCAGGGCCCTGACTCCCCCACACTCTGTGACAACTGGTGGCAGAGGTGGGATCTACTGCACCCCATGAACGGCGCCTCCTGCAGTAAGTGACTGGGGAGCAATAAAACGAAGGGTGATTGACAGGGACCAGACGTGCTGAAGAGCCAATGAGGGACAGTTTCAGGGGGCGATTCACCCCTGGGAGTGTGTGACCAGCGAGAAGGACTTTTGCAGTAACAGGGTCCCCCGGGGGATCGCAGCGAGTGGTCCCAGGGGTGGAGGAGTCTGCAGTTCAACCCTGTCAGAGAGGTGGTGACCTCGAGAAGGGCTGGCACACTAGGGGTCTCCCTGGAAACTGTGGGGAGCTGTGAGCACCCAGGCCTGTGAGTGGCCAACAGGAAGATGTGTGCCAAGCGGCTTAAGAGTGACCTGGTGGAGCTGTGCAAGCAGAGGGGGCTGCGCAGTGGGAGGCTCACCAAAGAACAGCTCATTGCCCAGTTGGAGGAGGGAGATCGCTGGAATGAACTGATTCCTGTCTCTGAGGGAAGCAGCCTGGCAGATGTAGCGCAGGCACCAGTGTCTGTCCCAGCTGGGAGTGGTCAGCCAGCTGCTGAGGGCTTTCCGAGACCCCTCCTTCCTATGCCTAGGGGAAGGGTGGGGAGGAGCCCAGCAAATACCATGGCACCATGATCCACCCGGCCAGCAGGGGATCCTCCCAGCGATGCTCGGCATCCATGGAGCGGAAGCGGCTGGAATGGGAGAAAGCTAAAACTGAGAGAGCTGGCAGATCGTGAAAAACAGAGACAGCATGAACTGAAGGAGAAAGAGAGACAGAAGCAGCATGAACGGGAGGAGAAAGAGAAACAGAGGCAGCATGAAGAGAACAGAGGCAGCATGAACTGGAGCTGGCGAGGCTGAGGGGCAGCAAGCCCCCGGCTGTGGTGAGTGAGGGGGGACCCAGGACTGCATGGAGCTTTGATAAGTGCATCCTGGCCCAGCATAAGGAGTGGGAGGACATGGATGACTTCCTGGATGCCTTTGCGATGGCCTGCGAGCTGCACCAGGTTGATCCTGCGGACAGACTCCGGGTTCTCACCCCCTTACTGGACCCCAAAGCCGTGGCATTGTACCGCCAACTGGAAGGGGCAGAGAAAGGGGACTACGAACTATTCAAAAAGGCCCTGCTACGTGAGTTTGGGCTGACTGCTGAGATGTACCGGGAAAGGTTCTGGAGTCAGGATAAAACCCCTGAGATCTCATATCTGCAACTAGCCGTCCGCATGGAGGGATACGCCAGCAAGTGGGCAGATGGGGCCCAGACGAAGGAGGACCTGGTTAAACTGCTGGTACTGGAGCAACTGAATGAGCGGTGCCCATCCGACCTGAGGCTGTGGTTGAGAGACAAAAAGCCAGAGAACCCGCAACACGCAGGGCGGCTGGCCAATGAGTTTGTGAAGAGCCGGTCATGGGAAGGCAGGGAGAAGTCCCAAAGGAACAGGCCCGCCACGATGCAGAGTGTCACCCTGGGACCTCCCAAAGGGGGAATATGGGGAATCCCCTCCCAAGGGGAATGCCCAGCATCAGGGACAACCGACCGGTTCGAGGGGACCAACAGGACATGAGCTACTATTACTGTGGCCAAAGAGGCCACATTCGGACCCAGTGACCCAAGCTCAAGGACAGACTGAGCAGACTGAACCCACACCGGGTTAACTTGGTAGAGGCGCAGACGGACGAGGGGCAGGCTTCCCAGGCAAGGGGGGCTGGCAGCATATCAACTGCTCAAGAGAGAGAAGGGCCCCAGGCCAGCTTCTCTGGGGGGCTGGGTGCTCTGGACACCAGGTTCTCTGTTTACAGGGTGAGCGCAGGGCTGTCCCTGCTGAGCGAGTGCCTTGTTCCCCTGGAGGTGGATGGGAGGAAAGTCTATGGATACTGGGACACGGGCGCTGAGGTGACACTGGCCCGGCCCGAGGTGATAGCTCCAGATCAGGTGATACCCAACACCTTCCTGACCCTGATGGGGGTGGGCGGGACCCCATTCAAGTTGCCCGTGGCGAGGGTACACCTGAAATGGGGGGCCAAGGAGGGCCCCAAGGACGTGGGCTAGGGACTGGGAGTGGAATGATGTGGCTGGGGTGGTGGACGACTGACATGGCTGGGAGGGTGACGTGGGTGGCAGGTGATGGGGCTGGGGGCTGGGAGTGGAGTGATGTGGCTGGGGTGGTGGATGACTGACATGTCTGGGAGGGTGATATGGCAGGGGTGTGTGTGGATGACTGACATGGCTGGGAGGGTCACATGGCTGGAGTGTGTGTGGAATACTTACGTGGCTGGGGGGTGTTTGGATGACTGATGTGGTTGGGGGTGACATGGCTGAGGGGTGACGTGCCTGGGTGTGTGTGTGGGTATGATGTGGCTGGCGGTATGTTGGGGGGTGACAGGGCTGGGAGTGGGGTGGGGAGTGATGTGACTGGTGTGGTGGACAATTGACGTGGCTGGGAGGGTGGTATGGCTGGGGGGTCTGTGGGTGGCTGGCATGGCTGGGAGGGGGGGGGGGGGGGGGGGGGGGGGGGGGGGGGGG